GCCAAGGAAATAGTACTGACTGCAGGTACAAATCCCAAAGGAAGGTTAGCAGGCCACAGTCCACCTTGGGCTTAAAAATGAGCTATATTTAGCCAATATTTACCCTTGACCTGTAGACTGGGGGCCTGAGCATTTGGTAACAATGGAGGTAGAGCAGGAGAAGAGAAGAGCAGGTAGAGAACAACAAAGGACCAGAGAAGAGATATGGGTCATGGGGATGAAGGGTTTATGGCTCATGCCAGTACTAACTCCTCTGAAACAGCTGGTGGTCTTCTTCCCACTGCTCCCACAGCTGCAGAATTTCCCCTTTGGTTTTCTATAACCTAGGTAAGATTCTTGTATTGAAAAGCTTTTGACAGCAGGTTAGGAAAAAGAAATTACATTACAATAAAATGGCCTAGAGGTAAGATAGATATGCCAAACTAAAGAGCAAAAGTTTAGTACTACTCAGCATTTTGCCTTCCAGGGAAATGGATTTTCAAGGAGAATAAACTGAATCAGAATGCTTCTGGAAGAAATGATTCATGCTTGATCTGTAAAGAAAGCTGAAAGAAGAAGTCAAAGAGGTCATAAGTAGAGGCCAGAGTCTAAAATGTCATGGTATATGACTTGTCAGCAGCTCATTGTGTAGTCTCAGCAGAAGTGACAAGAACAATTACATCAGAAAGTAGCAGCCAAGTGTAAGTTCAGGGTCTAATTAGATCAATCATTTCTAATATAGGAGCTTAGCTTCTAGCATTCACAGAATAAAATGTCAGTAAGATCACTCTCCAGGAGAATTTTCAACTCAGATGAGTCTTCTTCAGTACCTAAAATCAAACTTACAGGAAATAAACCACAACAAATCCACGACCACATTACACAAAGTTGTCTACACAGTCCCCTAGACTTCAGAGCATTCTAGAATATTCTATTGTGTGTGTGTGTGTGTGTACCACAACTTTCATACATTAATCCCTTGATGAAAACTTACATTGTTCCCAGGTCTTGGCCATTATAAATAACTAGAGGCCCAGTGCATGAAATTCATGCACGAGTATTGTCCCTAGGTCTAGTCAGCAATCAGGGCTGATCTTGGCCTTCTGACTGCTGGCTGGGGCCTTCCTTCCTCAGCTGCCACTGCCAGCTGGGCCTTTCTTTGTTCCTCGCCTCCCCTGGTGGTCAGCGCACATCCTAGTGAGCAATAGAACTACTAGTCTCCCAGTTGAACTCCCGAGGGGATTCTGCATATTAGCCTTTTATATATAGATGCTTGTTGAAACCAATCATTGTCCCACTAGCAGAAAGGTATGAATAAGGAACCCAGAAAGCTGGTTAACCTTGGAAGCTCTGAAAGATCAGAGCTAATCACTCACTGTTTAGTAGAGACACTGGTAGCTGAAGCGGCCTCCACCTGTTAGTCTTATGTAAATTCTTGCTGATTAGCTATTATTGGAATTGCCTGCCTAAAGGCTATGGGTGTATCCCATAATTTTAATAAAAGGGATAGCAAGGCCAGAGCGGGGATATAGTCCTCCCCCTAGAGGTGGGCTCCCGCCTGGTCCCCAATATCATCAAATTAATACTTTTCTAGTCACTTTCATTTGTGTGCAGCCTCCTTCAGAACCCTGAACCTGAACCTTGAACCATGTAGGATGTGAAAGGGGTTCCCACAGATGCTGCTTGAACATGAGGGTGCAGATATCTCTTCAACATGGTGCTTTTGTTTCTTTTGGATATATTTTCAGGAGTAGAATTGCTTAATCATATGGTGGTTCTATTTTTTGAGGAACTTCCATACTATTTTTCATAGTGGTTGAACCAATTACGTTTCCCCCAAAGGTTTCCTTTTCTCCATATCCTCTTTAGCACTCGTTCTCTCCCATCTTTTGGATACTACCTTTGAAAGAAAAGAGCCACATGCTAACCTGACAAGCTCAGGGAAATCCTGCGTGGCAGTCTTGCAAACCCAGAGACCTAAGATAACCACAAAAGATGGTTTGAAAATTAAATATCTAACAGGTTATAGTAGGTAGTCATGTCCCAGATATTTTCCCAGACAAAGATCAACTTTGATCTCTTTACTGAGCCCATTTGCCTTTTTGCCTTTAAAATAACATATCTATGAGATGTCTGGGTAACTTGTAACTTCCCTTTTTCCGGAGCCCCTGGGGCACAACCAAATGTGGTGAGCTCCAGGACAGGTGCCTCAAATTCCTTCGTTATCATGTTACTTGTTCCTGAACTCACAGAGTACAAGTCATTTCCCTTTTTATCCAATCCCAGGACTTTCCCACCGCTTTGCTTTCTCCCGCCTCCTTACTCCATCACCAGTGAATTTCATGTAACCCACCTATGTCCCTCCTTTGATTTCAGTGTATAAATAGAGAAATGTAACCCGCCATTCTTCGGAGCATTATCTCAATCCGTTGAGGTTCTGCTTCCTGGCATATGTCGACAGGAAGGCTCAAATAAACTCACAAAAAAATTCTTTATAGGTTTCAATGTTTTTTTCATTAACATACCCATTCTCACAGTGCCAATCATACAGTATACGTGGCTTGGTAGGGTAACCCAGATAGGTGAGCGAACCAAACCATCAGTTTCCCAGGTTAGGTTGGCAGGTGATTCAATCAAGTTCTATGGAGAGTGTGTGAAAAATCATATTTAGTTGCTGTGGGGGCAAAGGGTAAGAGATTGACAGCACCTGGGTTCCAACTGAGAAGGCAGGGCGGGGTGAGGATGAGCTCCTGACTCCGCCCCGCAGGGCGGAGTTATCCCTAGCCCTCACCCAACCAATCAGGATTAGCCGAGGCAGTGACATCACCACCGACCTGAGTAAAACCCCTGGACTGGAAGAAGCTCGCGCTCTTCCGCCATGCTGCCGGCATGAGTGGGGGGGCCCATGCTAGCATGGTAAAGGCTCTTTTGTTTATTGCATCAGACTCAGCTCCCTGGTGGTCCTTGGGGATCACGAAGTCTGGGTGTAACACAACTATATCCCTACCACATAGGGAGATATACTGAGAACAGGTTAGTTAAGGGGCCCAGTGCAGACTAATAGTCATGGACTGCATCTCAGACCTCATCCTCTCACAAAGGTGGGTCTGCTTGAGGGGGATAGGACTAAGGCTCAGTGCCCTGTAGCCATCAGCATTCTCCTGGGAATTCCAAAAGAAGCCGAGTCTCTGCTCCTTGTGTGGGGCCTTCTTGCCTAAGCTTGAAGGTTTGATACCTCATTGTGGTTTTCATTTAACGAATGTGTTAAAGTTAGTAATGTGACTACTTTAGGAAATTATTATGGAGGGTAGCATGCTCAAGAAGACATCCTTAAGTCAAGTTCATTACATTTAAAAATATTTTTATTGATTTGAGAGAGAGAGAGAGAGAGAGAGAGAGAGAGAGAGAGATTGACTGCCTCTAGAATGCCCCTTATTGGGGATTAAGCTCACAACCTGGGCATGTGCTCTGATGGGAAATGAAACCATGTCCTCCTGATTCATAGGGCAGCACCAACCACTGAGTCAGGGCAAGTTATATTTTTAGACAGATTCAAAACACAAAGAAAGTCTTAGTGGGTTCTTTAATTTCCTCATTTTTGTCTCTAAAGTTCTTATAAGTTCGTGAATGTAAATGTCACTGTAAAATCAGAAACTCTATACTATGATTGATTAATTCTAGGACATTTCTTAAATTCCATTTATGCTAAGATTACTAAGCTTCATTTTCTAAGGGATAGTTCAAGAATGGTCACTTATGGATTTAAAATACATCCCGATAAAAGCTGACTTTGGGAATCAAGAGATAGGAGTCCTTTTGAAATAATATCACTTGAAGAGTAGTTCAAATAGAATCTAATGGACTGTGAAACTCTAGTTTTAAATTAATGAGTGTACCTGGTGAAAAGCTTTGCACTGGTAAGCAATATGAAAGGTCAAATGAAATATTCTAATTACCTTAATAGTTAAATCATCTTGCTTATTAATATGTCATTTATTTTGACAGTTATTTTTTTTCGGGGGTGAAAGCAAGGAACTCTGTTGTTTAGCCTTCATGTCATATCATTATAAATCATTAACCAAGTGCTCACACACACCCCCCATGATGGATCACACAATCAAAATATATCTTATCATTTGGGCTTCAAGACATTTTTGGCTAAATACATTAAAGCTACAATTATATGCTGAATATTATATTATGATTTAATCTGTCAAAATGTCAAAAAAAAAGTCATTACTCAAGAAGAAAAAACAACAGACATCTGGTGAATCAACTTTATTGCATAACAATCATAGGAATAGTATTAGTAGTAGTGGTACATAACAAGTTGGTACAAAGTAAACCCATTCAAGAAGGTGTCATCAGCAAACCATTGCAGGGAGTAGAGGAGGGTTATTGGGGAATACATCCAAGGGGGTGGGAAAAACAATGGACCTGTGTTCTAGTCTCTAAAACATCAGGGTCTTATTTCAGACTTTGAATAATTATATTCCTCCCTCAGCTTTAGTTGGCTCAACTCTAGAATAGAAAGTGAGGATAGATGTTCTCTTAGGTCTACCACCTATAACAATTCAGGATTCTAAGGATAAATGCAGAGAACCTGAAAGATGAAAATGTTACAGTTTAAGAAGAAGGAGAAGCACAAAGTCATAGAGGTAGGGAAAAGCTAATTTTTTTTTTGTGAGTGGGCAAGGTGTGTTGTGGGATAGCAAGGACCTTAAACAAGACTGGTTAACAAAAAAAAAAAAGAAAGAAAAAAGACTGGTTAACTACTGTGACGTTTCTGAGGGCAATAAATTTGTAAAGGGGCAAGACAGAGTGCTAAGCCTAGTAGGGGACAATAAGCAGGGACCAAATAGAGAAAGAGATACTGTTTCCTATGGTCAGTAGTCTGACTTCTCTTGCTCCCCGTCTCACACTAGAGTCTGTATGTCTTCATGAATCTTCATTGCAACCCCATCCCCAAACACACACAACAAATAAAGTAAGAAGAAGGCATGGTTATAGATGCCTTCTCTTTAGACGCGCACAAGTAGCCCCCTTTTGTGGGCCAGGAAGCAAACAGCAGTTGCTGAAAAGATGGTAGTCAACCCAATCAGCCTCAGCAGGCCTGGCACGGAGGGCAGATGTCTCTCCAAGAAGGTCGTGTTAATGGGCTGCGCAGGAACATCCTGGGTTCGAAGAACATTTGGTGTCAGTACAGGGCTTGTGCACTTCCCTCCAGAAAGTCTGCATTTCCTCCAGTTCTCTGAACATATCTTTACTCTTACCAACCTTTAGACTGTTAAACATAACATCCCCTCTGGTCATAACACTGTCTCCATCCCCCACTTGGCCGGTTCCTTAACTATTCAGATTGATCTTTCAAGTCTCAGATTATACCTCACTTCCTCAAGGAGCCCTTCCTGTGCCCCCAGGCTAAGATGGTCCTTCTTTTAACATCCTCAGCATGTCATCTTCCTCACAATTGTGTTTTCTGGTTATCACCTGCCCTCTCAACCACATGTGGAGCTCATGAAAACACTGCTGAACCTTTCCACAATAGCTGGTGCAGAGTTGCTGAACAATAAATATTTGTTGAATTGAATAAATCTATGGTCCACTCAGCCCTCAATCCCATATGTGACAGGTGCTAAGAGAATAACTTGGACTGGTAGGGCTATTCTTTTTTACTTCATACTTAATAGAGGAATACCTATGACCTTTCTGATTCTTGTCCTCTACAATGCATTTCATTCTATCTTGTATGTGTCCTTCCTTCCAATCAGGAAGGCTTCCTGGGTTTTATTATGAAAATAATAATGTATATAAAAAAACACCTCATTTTAAAAACTAAATCTGCTCCATTTCATTCATCCCTTTGCCCCTGGACAAGGGGATGCTGTTATATCTTCCTTTCATTTTCTACCTCCTGTTGAGATTCACCAGATTAGAGATTTATTCAACAGGCATATGTTTAGTTCTTAATGTCTAGAACTCTCAGACCAAAAAGAATTTTTTCCAAATAATCTTTAATGAATGTGACAGCTACAAATTTATAAAAGTTCTAAATCTCTCACCTTTGACCTAGTCTATGCCATTAAACATTCATGTGTTGAAACACTTAGGGAAAGGTATGTGAATATATACAAGCGTATTCTTTTTGAAAATAATTTTTATTTTTTAAATATTTATTTTTACTGATTTCAGAGAGGAAAGAAGAGGGAGAGAGAGTTAGAAACATCAATGTTGAGAATCATTGATTGGCTGCCTCCTGCATGCCCCCTACTGGGGACCGAGCCCACCACCCTGACATGTGCTCTTGACTAGAATCAAACCTGGGACCCTTCAGTCCACAGGCTGATGCTCTATTCACTTAGCCAAATAGGCTAGGACTAAAAAAAATTGTTTTAAAAGACAAAGATTTGAATTAATGAAATAAAATATAACCTACCACAGACTCTGGTTCAGACTGCCAGATTTCATCCTCTGGAATCTTCCTCATGGCATGCAGGATCTGAAAAGAAATAGTATCCTGGCGAATAACAAAAGTAACACCATCTTTCTCCAAATCTGCTTTTTAAATAAAGGACTGAGTCTCGAGATATTTATAAAAAATACCAGAGTAACTGCTAATATAGTCCACTGAACCTTTTAAAGGTCCCAAAAAGTCTTTCATTGATGGCATAAGAGGCTCCAATCAATAGGCTCATCATAAATTATATTTGTGAATATGACTTAATAGACATGAGATCATAGGAATTGTTAGGAAATATAAAAATGAATTCTGAGTCCTAATAGAAACACGTTTGGTGCTATAATATTAGTCCTAGATTATTTCTCAAAGAGAGTCATAGTGATCTTTTGTTCAATGGATTCCTTTTATCTTGGCTGACATGATAGATATTTCCATTGTTACTTTTGGGTTAAAGTGTTCACTTCAACTGAGACTGCTGTTCAAATTGTGTTTTATATGTCTACTGGAAAGTTGGCCTCCAAGATCTCAGACATCAGGCCCACGAGTTACCTCCTTCCCCAAAGCCCATGATTCCAGGCCCTACCTCTCGGGCTGCTCTCTCTCCAGCCTCCACTGCCCCCTCCATGTAACCACTCCAGTGTGTAGCAGTCTCTGTGCCTGCAAAATAAATCCTGCCCACCGGCTGGCGGAGTACCCTTGAAACAAAAGCAAAGAGGTATTATAAAAGTGGTCAGTATCAGAGAACCAAAAAACCTACTCACAATGACCAAGGCTGGTTGGTATCCTCAGATTCTAAGCATTAGTAAGTATTACATTGTGAATTTTGGCAAAATGCTCACAGGTTCCTCCAGCTCTTGCATGATTCTTGTCAAAGTTCACTCCTGTACCAAGAGCTTACAAGTAAAGGGACTAACATCAATGGAGCATGCATTTGCTTCGCCCACATGAAGTCATGAGTAGCTCCTTCTATGGCTCACTAACTATAAGCTGACACATGCCCCAGTTCTTTACTTGGCTATTTCACCAATGAACTTGGTAAATCACCTCTTTGGCTTCCCCATCTCTTCAAGGACGCACTACAATGATATCCAAGACCTTTTCCATCAGTAATGTAACAAATCCGTGAGTCCAAAACTACCATTCATGAGCACTTACCTCTACCAGTACTTTGGATGCTCTTCTAAGTGCATTAGTCCTTATGACAACCCTATGAGGTTGGTCCTATTTTTACCCCCATTTTGCAGATGAGAACGTAGAGGTACAGAGATTGTGGTGGACATTGTGATGTACTACCCAGACCCCCTATCAAGAATGAAAGGCTACTTTTTAGCTGCTGGAAGTATTGCCAGAAGATAACCTTTTGATAGCAGTCCTCTGGAGATTGCCTCAGCTGAAGAAAATTGTCTTGCTCAAGGCCATGCCTCCTTCCAGCAGCAGTTGCATCCAACGTCTGATTATCATGGGGCTATAAAGACTCTTGGTACAACTCTTAAGGGCCATCCCTAGCTCCAGAGCTCCCTGTGGGAACAGCTGAGGCCTATATTGGAACTATCACAGCCCAAGGTCTCCCTCTGCCCACTCCTGTTTCCTTCCTCTCTCACAGGTGTTGATACCAAATGCTGTCCCTAGCATATATCCTGTATGTTCTTTGTGTCAAAGTCTGCTTCCTAATCAGCAAAAAAGACAAAATAATTTTTTCTAGGTCACAGTCAGTAAGTGGGAGAGGTGGTAACTGACTCTAGAGCACACAGTCTTAACCACTTGTTTATATTCCCTCCCTTACTTAATTATTTAATCATTTCAATCAACTCTATGACATAGTGACTATTATCATTATCCCATTTTACACATGAATTAACTGAATATTGGAGAAATGTGTAGTGACTTGTCAAGAGCCACACTGTTAGCAAATAGCAGGGCTACAATTTTAACCAAGCCTGTCATATATTAAGGTCTTTGTTGTTTTAAAAAAAATATTTTTTAATTGATTTTAGAGAGGAAGGGAGAGGGCGAGAGAGAGAGAAAAACATCAATGATGAGAGAGAATCATGGATTGGCTGCCTCCTGCACGGCCCACACTGGGGGGATCAAGCCCACAACACAGGCATGTGCCCTGACCGGGAATTGAACTGTGACCTCTTGGTTCATAGGTCAATGATCAACCACTAAGCCATCCTGGCTGGACAAGGTCTCTGTTTTTATCCCCTATGTTTTACTTAGTATGTCCAAAGCTAACATACATATACTCATACACTGTATACTACCAGGCCTTTTATCAGAAAACTAAACTGTCTGGCTTCATATAATACATTCAGGAATGCACTATCACCCAGAGCCCAGCCATGCAGAACACCCCTCCTCCAGACATTCCATGGACTTGTAGGATTTGAAGCATTTGCTCTTACAGTTCCTTCTGCCTAGAGTACCTTTCCCAAAAGCCTTTCTCTGCCTTTCTCAATCCTCAAATGAGATGGGTATTATGAAGCCTTTTTTAAATTTCTCTAGGTAAGGCTAGACTATCACTACCTAGGCACCCATGGTATTTGTGTATCCCTCTACTAGAGTACTTACCATAGTAATTAGTGTCATTACCATAGCATTAGAGCAATGTTTGATGTTCTTTTAGATCCCCATCCCCACTCCAGCCCCCAACACCATCAGCTCCTTCAGAGCAGAAAGGGCTTTTCTTGTGTTTTTAGCACAAGGCTTGGAAAATGGTTAGCACTTAGCCACTAAGTGCTGAATTGAGCTATTGCTATTGACATATTCTACACTTACCATATTAAAAAATTAACTTGTTGAGCCAGTAACTAATCAGGCATTCTCATAGATGGTATTTGTTATCTTCAGAAAGATGATGAAAGTGCTAACCAAAATCATTATATACCTTCTCACAGGTATAGATTTTAATATTTCTTTGGCTGGTTTTCATGAATAGATCGATTAGTCTTTTACATTTATTCACACCCTCTTTTAATTATACACTTTCAACAGCTTTTTACTCACTACTCTACATTTCCTATTTTGTTTAGCTTGAGCTTGGCATTAAACTACTGCTTGGTTTAATATTACTCTCATATCCAAAATAATCACTGCTATATCATTAATTCACACCTTGCTGTTATCATCAAAAACAATTAACTAAACACCAATGAGTCATGCTTGGATACAAAGCACTGTGAATGCTAAAAATCATTGAATTATACATTTTGTTTGGTTAAATTGTATTGTATATGAATTATATCGTAATAAAGATGCTAAAAAAATAAAACTGATTATCAATATACTGATTATTGTCTATTATATGCTATTTATATTTTTCATATACCCAATAAGAAAAATGATGTTCAAAGAGGTTAGGTGACCTATCCAGGATGAAAAAGTCGGTTATTGGTAGAATTAGGAGTTGGAGCCCAAGTCCCTTCACTTTCAATCTTGATCTCATTTTGCTTTTATAATGTACTCATGTTGGCACTTATACAGTTCCATTTGAGGAAATTTTACTGAGCTGTAAACTCAGTATAAAGGTACTTCTTCTTATAATATAAGTGAACTTCTGATTATTTAAGTTCCAATTATGATGCTACAAACTTCTTTGGTTATATTGATTGGGATTGTTTCTTCAAAGGACTTAGAGTGAAAGGCACCCCATGATGCAGAATTATGTCTTCTTTCATGAGCTTCACAATATACAAACAAGAGTATGGATTTTTAACATTCCTAAGAAATAGAAGAGCTACATGAACCTTTTTAGAATTTGGATTAAAATAAGCACACTTTTACTCTACCTTCCATATTGAGTCATGATCCCCGGGGGGAAGTAGGTTGTGTAGCAGCCTCCTGAGTACTGATCCTCACACCAGTTCTTCTCTTCATAGTGCACCGGCTGCATGGCAGAGTGACAAACACTCAAAGAAAACTCAAGGGAATCCACTCCAGAATAAACCAAACACATTCTAACAAGCTTAATATAGAAGAACCATCATATGTCTGAAGTAGAGCCTTATTATCCTGATGTGTTTTTAGAAATATGTCTTTGGGCAGGTAAATATCCTTGATAATAAAATAAGAAATTTTGACTTCAGAAAGTTTTCTCAGTTGGTTCATTCATGTCTCAGGTACTGCTCACAAGCTGCAACTGTTTAGTTCCATTTAAAAATCGGTATTAACTATTAATAAGTTTTAGTGCCTAATGGTTTCAAGACAACTTTTAAAAAGGATTTTTGCTTCTGGAATGGTTAGAGTAGAAAAAAACAGAAAAACATGTCTGTCAAGGAAAAAAGATTGCATTCATGTTTTGAGCTTTGTTGAAAGAAACTAGACAGACAAATTAATGTTTTCATGGGATATAGGCAATTCTGTTGATGATACTTGTAAACAACTATTGGTCTAAAATATGTTTTTGCCATGAACAAGCAAAACATTAGATGACATTTTGCAAAGCTTAAGCTCTTTATTAAAATAACTAAACATTCACATTATTAAACATGATTTTGAAAAGATAAAATCAACATGGCAAGTTTTAAGAGGAAAAATGTTCCTTTATAAACAAATTTTGGTGAAATATTTTATTTAAAAAATTGCAGTCTGGTCAACAATGTTGTAATAACTATGCATGGTGCCAGTTGCGTGTCAAGTGGAGTACTTTGTGAAGTATATGGTTGTCTGGCCACTGTGCTATGTATCTGAACCAAATACAAACTAATATTGAATGTAGACTAAAATAGAAAAAAATTAAAAAAGGTAAAATGGAAAATTCCAGAAATAAAAATAAATTGCAGTCACTTAGAGAACTTTGGGTAGTCATTTGTAATGCATCCTATTTACAAAGCACTAGGCCCTGACTGAGGGGTATAAGTTGCTCCAGACCTGTAGTGTAATTGAGCTTTGTTGAAAGAAGCTAGACAGACAGATTAATGTTTTCATGGGATATAAGCAATTCTGTTGGTGGTACTTGTAAACAACTATTGGTCTAAAAAATGTCTGATGGCCAGCCCTCTGCCCTCTCTGCATCTGAGGGTGACAAGCACCACATCAGCACCCTTCTCTGTCTGTTTCCTGCCAATCAGAAGGAAGGGTGGACTTCATCTTTCACCTTTCCTTGCTCCCAGGACTTGCTTCATTCTACACAATAGACAACAAAGCAAATGCCCTCCTCTATGCCAAGAGCAAACAAGGTTGGGACCAGCTCATTTTTATCAGCAGCAACTAATCATTCACATTCTTTTCCAGATTAAAAATGATCAACTTTTTGGGGGGAATTTGAGAATAATTGCTTTCTTCTCCAACTAAGATTCAACAAACAACTACCTCACAGGTTGGTGAAATAATTTCAATTAAAATTGTGTCAGCCTTCGAGTGTCTCAGAATGTAATTTCAAAAAGTTGGGATATCTACCAGGGTAAAATCTCTTGAACAATATTTTTAAACAGAAAAAAAAAACCCCAACACAGTAATTTTAACAGATGCAAATATCTATATATATTTGGTTTTGTTACTTTACTCATACTACCTTTGTGCCTAGAGTTGATGCTTATATTTAAACTTGCCAGATTGTATAGGAAAGCAGAAAATGAAAGAAAACAGATTCTCCACTACTATGTTTCTATCTAAAACCATCAATTGATTATTCTCGTTCATTTGCTGAGAAATAACTCCAAAAATACTTAAGAGTACACGTTTTACATACCTAAAGTACAGGGGGAAAAATACTTGTTTTACAAGAATGAACAAAAATGACAAACTCAAAAGCTACAACAACTGGGCTAGGAGAAAGCAAGTCACTGCAAAGTTGAATAAAATAAGTGTTAGAATAATAAGAACAAGCCATATAGCTGCTCAACCAGGTCATGGAGTACATTGAAGAAATTCATACTTAAGAGGCTTAGCAAGTTAAACATTCCTAGCCCCTTCATTAGATATTCCTCACACTTTTTAACTGCTCATTTATACATTAGTTTCTATTGCCTTCAAATGCTTCATGGATAACTGGATTTAATAATCACTTTCAAAAAGTTATTTAGTCCATGTCAAAACGTGGAGAAGCCATCAGTCTGGTAAATGTAATGAGAAGACGGATTCATTCTTTAAATAGTGATGTGGGAAGTGGTTATGGCTACTGATTATGAGTACATGGGACCCTCTGACTGTCAACAAACACCCTTCCACAATGCGTCCCTAACCCACCATATTCCTCCTTTGACCACCTTCAGAGTACTACTAGTTTAACTTCAAGATCAGTTTTCTTAGGCTACTTCCAAAGATATCTAGGAAACCCAGCTGAATGGGCTTGTCTGTCTTTCCCTGCACCCCTAATGTTCCAGTAGTGCTCCAAGCTTCCTGAGCTAGCACCAACACAGCCAGGGCCCATATTATTTGGGACAACTTATGTGTTGATCAGCCCTGTGTAGACCCCTTTGAGAATGCATTAGGGAAAACAAGAGTTCTAGGGCCCTACTGATGAGCCTATCCCTGCTAGTCCTTTGAGGACAAAGCAAGATACCTCTCTCTCTTATGGAAAGGATTAAGAAGCAGCCTTACCTTCAAAGCTTCTTGGGATCCCAGAACTTTTGCATAGAGCTCACAAAGTTTGTTCAACCTATGAGAGGAGGAGTGGGGATAAAAGTGAAAATGAAGGAAGTGAAACAAAATATGAAAGCAGCACCTATCCCCTCATTCAAAAAGATGCTGTGAGCCATTGCTTCCATTTGACATTTCATTTTAATTTTTCAAAACAAGGTACTTTGTTCTATTTCAAATGTTTTAAACCAATGGAGTCAGAAAATAAACTGAGGCATTGGCTGAATCGTTGGGGGCATACAATAATTTGTTCATTCATTTAAAAAATGTTGTGTTCCTCTTAAGTGCTAAGCACTGGAGATTCTGGGAGGATGCAGATATGATCCTTGCTCACCCCTTTCCTACTCCACTGCAAAACAATAGGCATAGCGGAAAGAGAAGGGAGCAAGAAAAGCTTTACATTCTGCTTCTGTCTCTTATGAACTTGAGCAGGTTACTTAAGGTCTCAGAATTTAAGTTTTATCAACAAACCCACATGATCTTTTCATTAATAATGTAAAACAATGTGATTCCATCAGCAGCATCACCCAGGGACTTGTTAGAAATGCATTCTACCTAAGTAAATTTTTAGCTCCTGGGCTATATTCATTTTTGTATTCTCAGGTGATATGTGTATTATGTATTCTCCATAACTCCTTTCATGGTTTCTTATGTACAATAAACTCAATAAATATTAATTTGAATACTCGATTCTTAAGTTATAAGTACTGTGCCCTTATACAAGACCCTTATATAATAATTAACACAACAGATATGTAACATTGGAAATACATATTTTTAGGCAGTATTTAAGTTAAAAAGTTAAGTAAAATTGAAAGGCAGTCGAGTAGACAAAAAATAAGGAGGGGTGCAAAAGGGAGGGAAGGGGGAGGGAGGAAGAGAGAGGCAAAGGAAGGAAGGAAGAAAGGAAAGAAGAAAGGAAGGAAGGAAGGAAGGGAGGAAGGAAGGAAGGGAGGAAGGAAGGAAGGAAGGAAAGAAGGAAGGAAGGAAGGAAGGAAGGAAGGAAGGAAGGAAGGAAGGAAGGAAGGAAGGAAGGAAGGAAGGAAAAGAGGAAAAAATAAGTACTTTTTTTGCTTACCTTTCTTCTTTGCTAAGACGTGCCAGTTTTAGGGTTTTGTGGGAAAGGATAAATCTAAAACATACAAACAAGCAAAAACAAAGGGGGGGAAATTAATTGCTGCTTTCATCTTGGCCTCATTTCTATAGCTACACATGTGCTTCGTGCACAAGTTAAAAGTAAATCCAAAGAAACAAATAATACAGTAGTTATTTAATGTTTTATTATTTACATGCTACATTCCAGGCACTGATGTGCACTTTCCAGTTTTGGGGATTCAAGATGCTAAAGATAGATGAGTAGCTATAATTTCTGCCTAGGCTAATACTATGTCTGACCTACTTCTCTCTACATAGCTGGTAGCTAACAGGAATGTCCAACTAAGTCATGTCTAAGCCTTTCCAATGTCATCCACCCCATTGTCCTTTGGTTCTATCTACACAATGGTGTCTCTCTAGTGGCCACCCTTCTACTAGTAGAATCTGCCTCCATTTGCAGCTGTATGATCACTTTCCAAGTCACAACTCTTTGATCTCCCTCCTCTGACTCTACACTCTCTGAAATAAACTCATACATATTCTAGGGCTCATATTAATTTTGACTGAGGACTGGGATGGTCTTAGCTCTCCTCTACTGGCACTTGGAAAACCTCATCATTTCACATAAATAACATTGATGTTCACGTAAGTCTCCATAAAAAGCCCTCTTGATAGAAACCCTAAATCAGGTCTTCATATCATGCTTTCACAAAAGATAGCTTATGGAGATATATCAAATCACAGCATTAAATATGAAACAGAAAATTAACATAGCAAATTTTTAAATGTCACTGGTGTTATAATTTCTTTCTAAATATTCATTGGAAAACATTATTTATAAAAGAATTTTTCTGTTGCTGGATTGGGAGAATAGTGCTATTGGGTAACAATTTATTTTTAAAAGTTTGGGGCACATTATCAATAGTATGGGAATACATTGTCAACATCAAATAGCATTCATACCACCATAACTGTGCCTTACCCCATTATGGCAGCATAGTTGCCATCAGGTTTGGTATCATCCAATGTGTAGGCAACTGGAGCTTCCTCTCCTTCAATAATCATGGTCCCACAATAATCTTGGAAGGACAGCAAAATGGAAGAAGACATTCGTCACTCTCTCAGGATACCCATAGCAGTTACAATGAGCACACAGAGCTCCAAACCATTTCAAACATGATCTCCAGAACAACTTGAGAAACCATTTCAGCTCATTCTGCACAAAGGGCTTGTCTCATTCCCCTCCTGAACAAAATATAGGCAATTTCAACAAAGACTATGAAATGGTGACAACATCAAAGCAGAATCTAACATGTTATAACAATAACCTACTACAGTGCACCCTACCTCCTGGTCCATCATGTACTTGCAAATTGAGTTTCTTTAAACAAAATTATAGTGAAAGACTCTGGAACAAATGTATAGAAAATCCAATAAGAAGGTTTCAAAACGAGAAAGAACTCTGAGGGTGTGCACTGCCTTGACCTGCATATGAGCAGACAAACCTGTAAAGCCTTTTAGCCTGCACTTGATTCTCTTTCTCTCTCTCTCTCCTCCCACACCCTTCCCACTGTGCATTCCTGAGAATTAATGTCCTAGTCAGCCACTGGGATTAGGGGTATTTGTATTCCACTCAGGTGTGCTGAGGCAGAAAAACACTGAGAAAACCGGAAAAGTTTAATGAGGTTCTTTATCAGGAGTAACAATGACAAAAGCAGTAACAAGCTACAATCAAACAAACAGGAATGAACTCTTAGGGGAAAAATAGATGACCTGAATCACAAGAAGCATTTTAGCAGCATGTTTCTCCTTTGCCTCTAGCATGATCTCTACCTTTTCTGCAGTTTAGTTCCTCATTTCAGTTCATCCTTCTCTTTTCCCTGAGGGCTTTCTCTCAGAAGAGAAATAGATGTGATAAGAGTAAATGTGATAAGACTCTAGCATTGTATTATCCAATACAGTAGCTACTAACTGTATGTGGCATGTTACATTTTAATTTAAAGCAATTAAAATTAAATTAAATTAAAAAATGTGCCCAACCAGCATGGCTTAGTGGTTGAGCGTTGACCCATGAGCCAGGAGGCTACAGTTTGATTCCTGGTCAGAGCACATGCCCCAGTTGTGGGCTCCATTTCCATGCAGGGCGTGTAAGAGGCAGCCAATCAATGATTCTCTTTCATCATTGATGTTTCTATCTCTCTCACTCCCTCTCTCTTCCTCTCTGAAATCAATAAAAATATTTTTAAAAAAAGAAAAAGAAAAATATAGTTCCTTAGTCTCAGTTACATTTCTGTGTTCAACACCTACATATGGTTAGTGGCTTTCATATTGAACAGAGCAGCTCTAGCACATTTCCATCATTCCAGAATCTAGCTCTTTTAGTGAGCATTCCTGTAATGTTTTGCCCAGTATCATAGCAAACTTGCTGACTATATCTGAAGAAATAAATTGATTTAATTTAATATAGTAGGATCTTGACACAAATGAGAACTTGCCTGGAAATTTTCAGAATCCTCACTTTTATGAATACCTCTATAAATGCATTCTTTTTCTAAATTTTCAATTTCAGTTTACATTCAATATTATTTTGTATTAATTTTAGGCATACGGCATAGTGGTTAGACTTTATAAAGTTGGTCTTCCCAATATTTCAATTACCCACCTGGCACCATACATGAAATTCATACTCTAAAAATCTGTATTAGAAAATATTAATAACCTATTTTCACAAGATTTTGTGGGAGGATTAAATACATTTTTATATAGAATTAGAAAAAGTGTTGGTCATATTCTAATGGAAGATAATTTTGAATTTGTGCCAATATATTTTATCTGATAGAATTGTACTTAGAACCTGGACTAATGCTTTATGCCCAGCATTCTAATAAAAAGTTACACACAAATGTGTGTCTTTGCACCAAGTTTCTTTGACCTCCCCAAGGTATTTAAGGAAAGTACTTACTCTTTTTCCTCCAAAAGGGCTCTTTATAATAAACGATACACTTGATGACTGAACCCAAAGGCACACGAGTGATTAGCTGGTTTCTCATCATTGGCAGAGGAGGATTGAAATGAATCTTCATGCCCAGAATAGGAGGAATAGCACTAATCACATATTTAGCCTGGAAGAGGGAGAGGAGAGTGGTTAAACATTGTTGGTGGCTTGTGCTTTTTCCCTAATGTTTCTCCCTCAATTAACTCCTCTCTCCACTTCATTCTTTTTAAAAAATATATTTTATTGATTTCTTTTTTTACAGAGAGGAAGGGAGAGAGATAGTTAGAAACATCGATGAGAAAGAAACATCGATGAGAGGGAAACAACTGCCTCCTGCACACCCCTCATTGGCGATATGCCCGCAATGAAGGTACATGCCCTTGACCGGAATTGAACCTGGGACCCTTAAGTCCACTGTCCAATGCTCTATCCACTGAGCAATACCGACTAGGGCTTCATTCTCTTCTTAACAGAAGAACTAAAAGGATCTTGTTAAAACCAAAATGAATCTTTATTGTTTCCTAGTTCAAAACCTCCAATGACTTTCCATCACACTTAGAGTCAAAACCAAGTTCCTCACAGTCACTTCTAAGACTTCTAAGACCATACAAGTCATCTCTGATCTCACCTCCTGTTCTTCTTCCCCTCAATTCTCAATTCTTCCATTTTGACCACTTGCAGTTCCTTCATCATGCCAGGCTTGTTTCTACATCAGGACTTGTGCTCTGGCTGTACTGTCTATCTGGAATGCTCTTCCCTCAGAAAGTTATATGACTTAATCTATCATCTCTTTTGGTTCTCTACTCAAATGTCACCTCTGAATGAGTCCTTCCTTGATGACTTATTTAAAATTGCATGACCAGTTGTCCCACCCCCATCTTATGGCAGACTCTCTCCTCCTTCCCTGCTTGATTTTTCCACAGTGCTTGTCCTTAACTAAGGACTTTCTCCTTCATGAGAATGTAAACCACATGAAGGCAAATAATTTTATTTGTTTTTTTCAATGTTCTGCTCCCAACTCCTACACTATGACTAGACACATAGAAGGCACTTGATATTTATCAAATATTTTATTTGTTTTTATAATTATATAGGAGCCCAATACAGAGGGTTGATAATATACCAGTATGTTTTTATACCCTCCCCCCAATATTCTGGTTCTCTTTTCCTTTCTTTCATATAGAGTTAGTTTTTCCACTTTTGGCAAAGGTATGATCTATAAAGTCTAGAACATTCTTGATTTTATTTAAGCTTTGATTATGTATGGGACTCTGACCTCTTTCCCTTAGTTTAAGGCTCTTGGTTACCTCATACACCTCATGATTTAGGGTCTCCACAAGGATATTTTCTCCTGTCTGGTCAATGTGAGTCACAGCCCTCTCCAGCTTCACTTGATCCCCAAGGAGATTCATTATCCGCTCACACACTTGACCGGATCCACCCACAAATTTTCTCTCCTGGAAAGAAAACAAAGATTAAAAAGATAGGCAAGAAATATAGTAATGGGTATAAATTATTAAATTGGTAGTTTTTTTCACACACACACACACACACACACACACACACACACATATATTTTTTTTTTCTTTTTCATTTTGCTGTTGTGAAGTGTATTTCACCATTGCTGTCTAACTAGTGATAGCTGGATTTTCACAAAATTACAGGTTTTCTAACAGTCAACTTCCAGGCTATGCTTTTGCAGATTTCCGGGCTCCAACCTCAGCTGGACTATCTCACCCTGACCCCATGCCCTATCTGCCTGGTCACTATCCCTGCTCTATGTATCATCTGCATCCTTTTATTGAGTTGCTGGGTCTGGTGAAGCTATACCTATGGCTGGGCCATGACTTGCATGAGCCTGTTTTTTCCCATTCTTATTACTCAGGCTCAGAACCTCCCTGGCCCACCCATCCCCAGACCAACCTATTCGCTGTTTCAAGCTGCCCATCTCATTCTGGGTCAGGTGCCTGCTGCTTCTGTGGCCACTGCACCATCTTTTCTGAGCCCTGCTAAAGTTTGAAAATGTTCTACACAGTTAAACTGACTGCCTTCTCCCAAATTTTCAGTTCAATTAATTTTTAATTAGTTTTTATTGACTTCAGATAGAGGAAGGGAGAGGGAGAGAGAGATAGAAACATCAATGAGAGAGATTAATTGACCAGGTGCCTCATGCATACCCCCCTACTGGGGATCGAGCCCACAATCCAGACATGTGACCTAACTGGGAATTGAAACGTGACCTCCTGGTTTATGGGTTGATGCTCAACCACTGAGCCATATCAGTTAATTTTTTAAAAGACTGACTGTTTCAAATAAGCTTAGGAAGAAAATGAATGAGGAAAGGAGAAAGAAGTGGGGAATGAAGAGGAAGAGGGTGAGGACAAAGAAGGAGAGAAAAGAAAAATGACTACCAAGCAGATTATATAAGAACTCCAAACCACTTCTTATTATACTGAACACAGTGCTTTATACAATGCTGGGGCTCAGGAAATAGGCAATGAATGAATTAATGAATTCCACATGTGTGTGTGTGTGTTAAGTTTAAATGCATTTCTGACTTTCCTTGTTGAATTTACCAAGAAGTGCTCATCATGTTCATCAGATGTTCTCTTAGCTAATAAAGAGGGAATATGCTAATTGACCATCACACCCTCACAAAGATGGTGGCGCCCATAGCCAGTAAGGAGGGAATATGCTAATTGACTGTCGTACCCTCAAATATGGCAAAGCCCATAGCCATAAGATGGTGGTGCCCAGTCCCCTCAGCCCCACTGGGGCAGCAGGCATGTGGTACAGCCGGGCTTGCTCCCAGGTGGATCTGGCTGTTCCATGCGCCTGCCTCCAGAGTCTCCCAGTCCCCTCAGCCCCCCAGCCATCTAGGGCTGCCCGAGGCACAGGCAAGCATTGGATGGTAGCTACCCAGCTACTCAAGGCTACCCAAGGCTCAGGTAACCAGAGCTGGCTGAGGCTTGTGCTGCTGGCAGTGGCAGCAGCAGAGGTGTGATGGGGGCATTGCCTTCACCTGATTGCCTGGGTCACCTCCCACTCTTGAGGGCTCCTGGATTATGAGAGAGGGCAGGCCGGGCTGAGGAACACCCCCCTCCAGTGCATGAATTTTCATGTACCTGGCCTCTAGTAAGTATGTAAAAGAGAGAAAATTAATCCTTTAAAAAATATATTTTATTATTTACAGAGAAGAAGGAAGAGGGATAGAGAGAGAAAGGAATATCAATGATGAGAGAGAATCATTAATCAGCTGCCTCCTGCATGCCCCACATGGGAGATGGAACCTGCAACTTGGGCATGTACTCTGATCAGGAATTGAACTGTGACCTCCTGGCTCAACCACTGAGCCATGCCAGCCAGGCTAAGAAGCTTAATCTTAAAATTACATTGGCTGCTGCTTTCTTACATTGGGTACCTAACAAACAGACTGTCCCTCACAAAAGTCACCTTGAGCTGCTATGATATAGTTCTGAGAGCCACAAGACTGCCTCTTGATTCATCCCATCCATTCATGACTGAAGGATGATGTCAATCTTTCATTTTAGGCAGTGGTGATTTTCTGTTGGAATGGTGGAGGTATGGATAGGTACCTGCCCTCCATTGGTTGTTGAGATGATTCTGGTTGTGCCTCCACACTGCTTCACATACCATAGGAACCACAGAGCAGAGACCTCATGAGTCTCTGCAGTGACACACAGGTTCACAAAGAGAGTAGCGAACTTCTTTGCAGATCTACTCAGGAAGAAACAAGAGAAAAATTAGCAAATGCAAAAGACCATCAACTTAATTCTCTGGAAATTATTCAAGCAATAAATTTATTTAGGTAAGTTTGGCAAAACTTAGCAAGTCACAGAAAATTGTCACTAGAATCCTGTATTATTAAATACTAGAGGCCCAGTGCATGGAATTCATACATGGGTAGTGTCTCTAGGCCTGGCCTGCAATCAGAGACAATCATCTCCAGCTATTGGTAGCTGGCCCCACCCCCCCACCAACAATGCCACTAGTAGCCCTCTGTGTGTTGGGTGACCAGCGGGGTGATCAGGGACCTGCTTCCTTGCACCTGTCTTGGCCTGGTGTCACCTGTTTCTGCCACCACCCACCCATGCTTGCCAGCCTTGCCCCGCCCCCCTGTCAGTCACCATCTGTGTGTTGGGTGACTGGTGGGGCTATCAGGGCCCTGCTCGCTTGCACCCACCTTGGCCTGGTGCTTCCCACATCTGCTGCCACCCACTCCTGGTTCCCCATTCCCCATCAGGTGATTGGAGCCTGCTGGAGGCGGGGAGGGACCAAGAGGTTGGCCAGCAGACCCCAATCAGGCGATTGGGGCCTGAGAGCTGGGGCCAGCTCCTGCATTGAGCATCTGCAGAGGTGTGATGGGGGTGTCGCCTTCTCCTGATTGTTGGCTCACCTCCCGCCCCTGAGGGCTCCTGGACTATGAGAGGAGGCAGGCCGGGCTAAGGGACCCCCGCTCCAGTGCATGAATTTTCATGCACCAGGCCTCTAGTAATACTATAAAATAGTTATTTTAAAATAATTTTTACTATTTCCCTCCAGTTCCTAAGTTCAACACGGTCTCAGAGAGGTTAGTAATATGTAGTACACAACTCACAAAATGGTACAACATCAAACCAGATCATACCTGATTCAAACCTCATTATTTCAATACCTCAGAATTCTCTATAATTCGTAAACTATTAAGTTGACTCACGAAGAGGCACCACTCTATTCTAGTGTACCTTTACTTTGGAGTAGCTAGCACATATACTAGTTACTGACAATGTTTGCAGCCATAATAATCTGATAGAACTTTTGTGAAGTTCCCCATCATGTAGTCAGCAAATAGTATAATACACATGTTGAAGTAACTTCGAGTTAGTTTTGTAAGATTCCCCATGATAACTGGAGGAACGGAAATTGCTGACTTGTGCTTTCTTTGCAGAGGTAATTTGTGGCATCTATCTATAGCAAATATCCAAATATTGGTTTAAAAATTTTAAAGTGAAAACATCCTTTGCTATTTCCTAATTCTTTGTTTTATGGGTGAATTGAGGTAGCATAAGGTAAAGAGAATAATAAATAACTAAAACAATATTGGCCTAGCTATAGAGTCAATATTAAACATAGACATTGCTATGATTGCAGTTGTTATTGCTGACAATTTTGTAAGAAAAAATAATCCTGGTTTGAAATGGAGAGATCTAAAAGCAATTCTTTCTGGAGGTCCAGGCCATTTCTAATACTTTATTTGACTTACTCTGGAAGCTTTAGTGAGAAAAGAAATGAGAAGAACAATATTTGAGGGATAGAAGGTCAAGGAAGGTAGTGCAATAATTTTTGATTCTTTGCCCTGTTGACTTCTTAAAAGATAAATGTTATTATATTTTCTGCATGAAAAATGTATGCACATATAAAATTTGGAAAGTTCACAAAATAAAAAATAAGAGAATGAGTATCTCCCACATTTCTGCTTTCGTAAAGACAATCACTAGTCTCAGTCTGATGCATTTTTTCTAGTTATAGGTTTTGAAAAGGATATTTACATAGATGACCATATTGTAAATTTAATCTGAGTTTCCAAAAAGCATTTTACAAATAATAACTCAAGGAATGAACATTAGTCTTTGAATATATGATTGTGCTTTTAAAACTAGAAAATATTTATCTTTTATATCTTGATTAGGAAAAATTAGAAAATTACTTTGTGTTCATATATTCCTAATATCTAGGCATGCTTTATTTTGTCAGCCAGCCAACAACCCAGAATTTCACTAACGGAAGGACTAGGCCAAGGACTATGATAGAAAAAGTCATATTCTCTATGATCCCAAAGGTACATAATTAATCTGATTTTTAAAAAGTTTTGAAGCTCTATGGGAAGAAAAGACTTAAATGAATTTATTAAGAGCTTTTCATAACATAAGTTATAAAATGAATGCAGGTAATTAAATACCTGATTTTTTATGTTTAATATTAATATTTTGAAAATCTAGTGTATATAATTTAAAGTAAATTCTGAAATTTCATTACAATCAAAATAAATTATATTACAAATTAAAATCTCAAAAAGTGGTAAATAGCATTAGCTAAGTGTTTCAAATTTAATTAATAATAGACATTGACTTCATGACAATAAAAGGCTTTTACTATTCCAGAGTTGCTTTCAAAGGTTAAAGACATAGGAGAAGCATAGAGATTTTTTTCCACAGGTAATTATATGTTAATAACAATAATAACTAAAAACTAGAAGTAACCAAAATGCCCAACATAGTGATAATAGATAATTCCAGTCAGTCGAGCCTTTGGTTGTTTTGGAAGTTATGGACCCTGTGTTTTTATATATTAGGATTGCACATACTCAATGACAGCCTGATTTTCTATGTTTAATATTATGATATTTTCATGCCATTAAATATTATTGTACAACATATAATTTAAAAAGACTGTAGAGTATTACATTTTTAGATGTCCATAGTTAATTTAAGCAATCTTCTTTTATTAGACATTTACATTTTATCTTATAAAAAGTAATGATTTGAATTCCTTGTTCCCTCCTTCCCTCCTTGTATGCCTTTCTTTCTGTCTTCTTTTCTCTCCCTTTCTTGAAGCTAAATTCCAAGAAGCATGGGAGGACAGTCTTCTTGAACTCAGCTTCCATTTTTCTTACTTCATTTGCCACAAATTCACCAGGCCTATTAACTCACAACCCTTTACATTTTCCTTGCTGTTCAAGAGCAGTGAGTAGTGTCTATTTAGATAGACTCCATAGATTATATAGTATAGTCCCCCAGCACTTCCAACTAGAATTTAATGCTTACCTCATGAATAGTTGCTTTCAACACTACATGCTTTTCATTTAATAAAAGCAGTCAATCCAGTAATATATGTTTCCTCTACAGTTGTAAACTATACAGCCATTCTCTAGAAGTTCTTTTCAATCCTTGAAGAATTGCACCCATAAAGTGTTTCAAACACAAGTGTAGAGATGGTCATTAGAGATGTTAATGACCATCTCTACACTTGACCATAGGTGAGAAGCACAAAAGTATTCCTACATCAACAACTTGATAAATATTTAAGCTAATGGTCTTTAAGCTGTTCTAAGCAAAGGAGGTGGCCCATTCTGGTCTGATCTGAGTATTTTATGGGATAATACCAGGTTGGTGGTGCAAAGCTCTGACACCTTTAGGGCAGAACCCATTTTCAATATTTTTCAGTATTCCACCTGGCCAAATGGCATGGTTTTAGACACTCAATAGTTACTTTTCCCGTTTCTGTTTAATAGTATTCTAAATTAACCCAAATGACGGTCACAATAAAATCCTGTATCTAACAAAAAGTCTTACCCAGTCCAGCAGATCTTGTCTATCAGCTCCTTCATGGTCATGTGGTCCCATTCTTCTGCAAGGGGTGCCTTCCATGGGGCATCACTGGGAATCTACATTCAGATGAGGATTCGAGGGGGGGGTGGATTTAATTTTATACTTTAAATAACTATTTCAATGGTATTAAAAACTCTAACTTAAAGAAGGAAAATAATAGTTTTTCAAATCCCCAATTGTGACTTTTGCTACAAATCCAATGCTGTCTGTGTAGCTTTGCTTTCTTTCTTAAAAAAAAAAAAAAAAAAAAATATATATATATATATATATATATATATATATATATAATTGATTTTTTTACAGAGAGGAAGAGAGAGAGATAGAGAGTTAAAAACATTGATGAGAGAGGATCATCGACCAGTTGCCTCTTGCACATCCCCTATTGGGTGTGTGCCAGCAACCAAGGTACATGCCCTTGACCGGAATCGAACCTGGGACCTTTCAGTCCACAAGCCGACACTCTATCCACTGAGCCAAACCAGTTTCGGCCTGTGTAGCTTTTCTATTATTGATCTTTACCACAAGATCCATATTTAATTTATGATAATACTTTCTGCACAGTAAATGAAGGCTATGTTGTAATCGGTTTGTTTCCAAATAGCAATTAGGAGGTTACTTATTTAGGGAAAACATTTATAAATTCATCTCCTTAGGAAGGATTAGACAGTCATACCAAATCACATCTAAACTGGAGTTTCAGGTCAAGCTCAGTGTGTATTTTCTTATGGGTTACTGGTTTGAACAGGGTAGCAATTCAAATACTTGGAAATCTTGCTTTGTTATGTCCTGAGGATTTTCTAGATTAGAAACATCATCCCAGGAAGGAAGAGTAATATATGAACTTCTCCCCTTTCACAAGTAATATACAAAATAGCAATCTGTTGGGTATCTCATTCTTTTAGAGGTTAGAAACAAGATCATGTTATTCATTTAAAAAATCTTTATTGAGAGTTACTATGTGCTACACAATGTGCTAGGCATTGATGATATGTTGCATCTCTTTTCTTTTAAGGACTAAACTTATGAAAAGTACAAATGTAATCACAGAAGCTTTGAAAAGCTTTACCTCTTGTCCCATGTCATCAATTGTCCGCCAAAGGTTGTTATGATCTAGGAAGGTAATTGGATTCCACATAGGTGGGAATGGGCCCTTGAATTTGTATGATTTTCCCTGTGAGATATAAAATATTTTAAAGGAAACATTTACATAAAAGTAGTTAAATCTGCCATATAGAATGTCTGCAAGCAAAATCATGTTATCAATATGTGATACACACTCCTTGTGGTCTTGGAGCTCTACTTAACATTTTATAAAAGAGATTTCAAACAAAATTCTGTTAACTAAATAAATTTGAGCCAGATGTGAGAGATAGATAAAAATGCAAATCAATGCCACTCACTTGATTTTTTTGTTTTAGAAACATTTTTTTTCATAAAAATAGTTATACGTGTAATAGAGTTATTGTTATTTTAGTAGAATTAATAGATTTTGTTAAAAATTCAGTTTCAATTCCTAATATAGGAAATATAAATAGAGTCACATGAAGAAAAACTACTTGAGCTTTTCAATAATTTTCAAGGATATAAAAGTTTGAGAAGTGCTGGAATAGAACTGCAGAAGTGCAGAGGCCAAAAGAACTGACTCAAATGGGCTTTGAAACTTGATAGTTGTGTGACTATAGGCAAGTTGTTCAACATCTGTTGGTCTCTTATCTTTAGATTTTGAATAATGATACCCACCTCAGAGGGATATTGTAGAAATTAACTGAGATTATACAGGGCAAACAGGATGTACTAAATGGATGTTGCTGACGGTTCTGTGATCATGATGAATGTCCTGTCATTTATAGAGCCACAACTTATACATAAATCCATTTCCACATTTTTTATTAATTTCATTTGGACACATTCCTAGAATCAGAATTCCTACCATGAAGATTTATGTTTGACTTTTTAAAGCAGACTTGCTGAAAACAGCAACCAACTTGATCATCACATGGTCTTATTTTGTAGCCTGTGAGTTTCGGTGGGCTCAGTAAAAACATCTGAAATTTGCCTTCTGCATCCCCCACCTCACAAGTGGGGGAGCAGCTCTCAGAAACAAAGATTGTGATAGGCAGGCATCATATTTAACCATCACCAACATTACCACTACCACCTCCCCCATCACCATCAATATCATCATCTTCATCATAGCTAACACTTTCTGAACACTTGCTCTGTACCAGGGACTTTTTCAAAGATTTTACAGATTTAATTCATTCATCCTCCTCAACAACTGTATGAGAAAGCTTTACTATTATGTTCATTTTTAATATTAAGAAATAAAGGCACTCCTTGGTTAAGAATTGTGCTTTGAATCACACAGCTAGTAAGTTGTAAGTTTGGAAATTCAAATCAAGCCCCTCTGGGTTCTCAGTCTATAATCCCAATTTCTATATTATTAAAGATGGACTGGTTGTCTTATCTTTTGACTTTCCCCTGTACATTCATTTGATAACATATTTTTCAAAGGTATGAGGAGCTTTAATATGATAATGTCTACAAGTTTTCCAGTTGCTGTAAGATATTACCAAAATACCATTGGGAAAAAGGCTATTTCTTTCATAGTGAGGGGAGAAAGTCTTTAAGATGTATTGTATAATAATTCATGGCTTCTCTTCAATTTATAAGCATTTACCTCTTTTTCCTTCTTGACATTATATTCAACTGTCTCATATTTGCCATCTTCGAGTCTATCTTTTATGTCCAGGAAATCTGTTACTATACAAGTGTTTTCTTTTTCTTTGATCTGTTTCATTTAGACTCATTAAAAATTAATCTATTGACTTAAAAGGTTCCTAATACACCTCCAATACCATTCTTATTCATTGCTTCAATTTTAAAATTACATTCAAGGGTATTATTTCATATGATTGCTTTAAATTCCCAAATGTACATATATATATCAGTGTAGATAGAATGCTGAGTTTCAGAGCTGGAGAACAGAGGATACCAAGAATACTGTTATCAACAATTAATAAAATGAAGTTATATAACTATTTGTGATAACAACTTAAGGCTTCATAACACGTGCTACATTTCACTTTTCTGAGAAGCTCTCGGGTTCAATGAACTATATATTCTTAAAAATAATAATTTTTTATTTCAGCAGGTTCTTGATTAGATGCAGGAATGAAGAAAAATGAGTGGCCCTTAATACAAAAAGATATGTATTCTTCTGTATCTGTCCAAAAGAAAGAGCAGAGTGGTGTCTGGGGAGAATTGACATCTATGAAAAAGAAGAAATATATACATACTCATGCATTCATGTGTGCATATGTACACAAGTATTTATTTACTCATGAGTAAACTTCTGTAAAATATTCCTTTTAAAACAGAAGTCAGATCATGTTACTTCTCTATTAAAACCTTCCAATGGGTTCCCATAACACCCAGAGAAAAAGCCTAGATGACCCTCTGCCATCTAGTACTGGCTGTTCCCTCTCTGACCTTCCAGTGTTGTGTTGGGACTTGCACATACTGGCTCACAAGGCCAATCAACTGTCTTCTCAACTCTGTGTTCAGCAATGATAAGTTAAGCCATGATGAAATATTTATACCATGCAAATCCTACAGATGAGAGTTAGTTTCTTGGTAAAATGACACCTCTTTAGTGAGGCCCTACCTGATTACTCAATTTGAATTTGGATCCTACTCTTTCATACCTCCACCCCCTCCCACACACACACCCAATTTTCTATAGCAATCAGGAACTTCTGGTAATTGTTTATTTTTTTTTAAATATGGCTGAAAAGATGTTTTATTACACATTGCTTTCATGTATATGGGAGATTAAGTAGATCTGGTTCAAATCCTTGGTAGACATGGGAATTGTAACAGATTTTGACAGCCAAAGCTTTTTGCATAATTCAGTAACATGGTAGTTAGTGGAATAATAACTCCAAAATATATTTGAAAATCAACTCATATATCCATTAGAGTTGAGTGTAAATTAAAAACTAACATTTTTAAATTTCAAGCAAAGTAATATATGAATGCTTGCTACATCCGAATTAACTTAATTTTAAGAAAATTCATATTTTATACCATTTTTTTAATCTTGCATTTTACCATATTTCTTGATTGTGTCTGTTACTACAAGTGGAAAGCAATATAAAATCAAATGCGGTCAATTTCAATTCTATCTTAGGTATATAAATATCTTATTAATAATGTTTTACAAACATTATTGGTAATGTTTTACCACATGTTCAGATGATAACATTTTAGATATTTTGGATTAAATAAAATATATTATTAAAATCAATTACCTGTTTCTTTTTTATTTTTCAATGTGGTTACTAGAAAAATTAAATTACAAATGTGGCATATGTTATATTTCTGGACAGTGCTATTTTAAATTTTAATGGGTATTCACATATTTTATGTATATGTCAAAAGGGGGGAAATGAATGCATTTTGATTCTCTGAACTTAGGTCATTTTGAGATTAGTAAACTCTGAGACACAAACTATCTCCTGACAACTCTATTAGAGAGCCAGCACTGCCACTTAGTAACTGGGAAGAAATTATCTCAACAAAGCTAAATAACAACCACTGTCCCATATGCAGGAGCTAAAAACATCAGAGTAGAGCTGAAGGAAACCTAGAAGGTAACACTATTTTTCTTTTCTCTTTTCTATTATCTGTTTAGCCTGTTTGTCTGGGCATGTGAGTTCAGTTGTAGCCAAAACCTCCTATCTTAATCTACTAATAAAATAAGAAAAAATTAAAGGAAAAGACTGGATGGGTTGAACATCCACCTGTGAACCAGGAGGAGTTACAGTTCAATGTATAAGAAGCCTTTGAAAATATTTTTAGGGTAAGTGTATCAACCTGGTTCTCTTTGATAAGAATTTGTAAAGCTTTATCTTATCTGATGTCCTATAATTTAAATTCTTACTTGGTAGTACGAATCGCCAGAGCCTATTAAAATAATCTTTTCCCCCAAAGAAAACAGACTAACCTTCCTATAAAAAAATTCTTAGTATCTTCAATGTACCATAGCAGCCTTGTTGGTAAGAATAATGTTAATCAATGTCTTCCATTATCATTTTTCTCTTTAAAAATTCAAAGCACTAAGCAGGAGAGGTACAAATATTCTTCTTTTGCAAGAAATCAAGGCCCAAAAGCATAAATGACATGGCCAAGGTCATACAAAAAGTCAAGGATAAAACACATGCACGTGCGCCAGACGGGAAAATTTTTCGAGCTCAATAATACCAGGATAAGAGCCTTTGAGGTTCTGCATTTGAACAGCTGCTTTGGGATCTAGACTGTCTAAACTCAAAGGGTCGAAGCTCAGTCACTAAGCCTGGCTGGAAGCAGTTTGGTTATCCTTAATAGATCTATAATCAGGAGTCTGCTGCTCAGACAGGTGAGAATCACAGAGACTGCTGGAAACACTAGGCCTAATATCTTTTCATAGGTCATAGAGTCTCAAAAGTAAACTCTGTATCTAATTATATTTTTAAAATAAAAATGAGAAAAAGCTTTCTATAAAAAAATTAGAGGAGTACTGAAAGCTACAAAGAAGGCAACAAATTGCCTCCTATTTCACCGTCCAAGTTAAAAAAAAAAAGTTATAACATTTAGTGCATGACATTCCAGACTTGTTTTTTAAAAAATAGATTTTTGTTTATTTCAGAGAGGAAGAGAGAGAGAGGGAGAGAGAGAGAGAAACATCAATGATAAGAGAGAATCATGGACCAGCTGCCTCCTGCACGCCCCACACTGCAGATCAAGCCGGCAACCTGGGCATGTGCCTTGACTGGGAATCAAACCATGATCTCCTAAGCCACACTGGCCAGGCATTCCAGACCTCTTTATAAGCATCTACAAGATAGAAAGATGGATGGGTGGATGGTTGATATGGATGGACAACTGGACAAATGGATGATTAAAAGAGAGAAAAAGAAAATAGGAATGAAAGAAGGAAGGAAGGAACAAAAGAAGGAAGAGAGGGAGGAAGGAAAGAAGAAAGGAAGGAAGGAAGGAAGGAAGGAAGGAAGGAAGGAAGGAAGGAAGGAAGGAAGGAAGGAAGGAAGGAAGGAGAAAACAAATATCTGAAAATCAAATTACATTATATTTGCTCTTTTCAATGGCTCAGGAATGTCTTAATTTAATGGA